ACCTTTTTGTGTATGTGATGACACTACTTAAGACCTCCTGGGGGGGCTGGGGGGTAGCTCACGCCTGTCATCTAGCACTCTGGGAGGCCGAGGTGGGAGGATTGCTCAAGGTCGGGAGTTTGAAACCAGCCTGAGTGAGACCCCGTCTCTACTAAAAATAGAAAGAAATTAATTGACCAACTAAAAATATATATAGAAAAAATTAGCTGGGCATGGTGACACATGCCTGTAGTCCCAGCTACTCGGGAGGCTGAGGCAGGAGGATCGCTTGAGCCCAGGAGTTTGAGGTTGCTGTGAGCTAGGGCTGACGCCACGGCACTCACTCTAGCCTGGGCAACAAAGTGAGACTCTGTCTCAAAAAAAAAAAAAAAGACCTCCCTTAGCAAATTTCAAGTGTATGATGCAGTATTACTAACTACAGTGGTCATGTTGCACAGGAGGAAGGTCTGTAGAACTTACTCATCTTATAGCTGCAAGTTTGTATCCTTTGGCCAATATCTCCCCCTTCCCCCCACTGTCCCCAGTACCTGGGAGCCACCCTTCTACTCTCTGTGTGAGCTCAGTTTTATCAAAAGTGATTTATATTCATTCAACAAATGTAGGGTAAGTGTCTACTGTAGGAAAAATATTGTGATAAAAGCATGGAGTCCATAGATCAAAAGTCACACTTTCTGACCCAAAGGAGGTTTAGCATAGTGGAAAGACACTCATGGAAACAGTTATAATCCAACTCTTTGGAGGGAGGTATTGAATTCAACAGGATCCCACAAAGAGCAAAGAATTTGCATCAGAAGTCTCCACGAAGGAATTCATGTAGCAGAAAAATCAAACAAGACTTCTCAGGAATCACCTGACTTAAAAAAAAAATGTAGTGGTAGAAACAGGGGGTAAAAAAAGCAAAATCACTCTGTTAATCAGATAACCACACAAGCCTTTTGATTTAAGAAAAAGCTTAGTAAAACACTGCAGCATCATTTATATCACCTGATCAACTTTTCTAAACCATCTCTAATTTTCAAACCCACCACTGCTTTTCATTTAACGAATTCATCTAAAGCTGTTTCGAGCCTTAAAAAGAATTCGAGTATAAATATCTTTAACAGGAAAGAAAAACTAACACGTTCCATTAGCACTGGGACTGTTACCTCTTTTTTTTCCCCCCTTGGGTGTCAGAAACTCGAGAACAGTAAATACTGTGTAATTCAAAAATACATATGCCTGGCGATTTTCTTCAAAATCGGTCTTCAAATCCAGCTAACATTTAACTGATTGGAAGCTAACTTCCATTCTTAAAGCGGAAGCACATATTCTGACCTGATTTTTCTTCTAAAAAAAGGGGTTTCTGTGCTTTTCACCCTGAAAAGGGAATAGTATGTTCAAAGCATAGACACTTGAGAATAACGATTTACTTTAGGAAAAGATATATATATATATATATATTTCTCGAACATAAAGTTCTGCAGAGAAGGCGAGACTGGGTTGTAAGTGAAGATAAATTTGAGACACATTTTATGTTGCATTAAAAAGTTGAAACTTCACCCGGATTGGCTGGTAGGCAACGACTGAAAAATGTTTGGCTAGGGTCTGAAATGATCATTTTTACCTATTTATAAAGCTTGTCTTGGTAGCAGCCCAGAGGATGGATTGGAGCAGACCAGGAAGATCTGAAGGAGTCATTATCAGTTATGAAGTTACTGTCTCTCAGCTCCAAACCACCCTCCTCTCCTCTGCTTTGTGACGCTGGGGCTGAGAAGCCACATTTCTGCTTTGCCAGATGGTTCTATGTTAGGCTTGGCAAGCGCATTTGCTAGGAGATCGTAGAAGTAGGGTAATCAACGTGTCCCAGTTTGCCCAGAACTTTCCCAGTTTTAGCACTGAAAGTTCTGCATCCTGGGAACCCCTTCCGGGGGTGCTGGTCACCTTAAGCAGAAGGGATTTGCTCCTTCCTGTCTGTCTGCTGTTCTGGGCGTTTCTCCAGCAACACTTCTTCCCTCTGGTGGCTGTAGCTGCAGCTGAATCCAGTTTTTGCTCTTCACTTGCAAAACCAGCTGAATCAGAAACATCAGTGCCTTTTCATCCAAATCTGTGTCTCAGTTTACTTATCTTTAAAATGGGGTTTGATAATTTCACCAATTCACATACATGGATTGGTTGATTCAACACCATTCCAACCCCCTTCACGCTTGGCTCCCTGTAATGTAGGGATTGAAAAGCCTCCTTTGCAGTTAGGCGCGGGCTTGTTTCTGTATTCTCACTGAAGCCACGTAAATGGAAGTGTTTGCATAATTTCCAGTAAGTCATGTTGCAAGGGAGATGTAGTGCCCTCCTTTCTTCCTTGCTTTTGTTGCCTGGAATTTAGATGTGATGTCTTGAGCTCATGCAACTGTCTTGGGCTGTGAGGCAATGTGCTAAGTGTAACAGACAGCAAGTAGAGGTTCAGGTCATTGGACTTCCTGGTCCTAGGCTTTTTATCTTTGGCAACAGCCCTAATGAGATACAATTCACACCCCTTTAAAGTATACAGTTAAATGGTTTTAATATATTTCTAGAGTTGTGTAACCATTACCACAATCAATTCCAGAACCTTTTCCAATCTGCTTTCCATCTCTGTAGATGTGCCCATTCTGGACATTTCATTTAAATAGAATCATACAGTGTGTGGTGGTCTTTTGTGTTTTCTTCTTTTCCTTAGAATAACGTTTTTGAGGCTCATCCACGTACCACAGATCAGCACTTCACTCCTTTTTATTCCATTGTATGGTTGTACCACATTTTAGTGATTCATCAGTTGATGGGTTTTGGGTTGGTTCCACTTTTTGGCCATTATGAATAATGCTGTTGTGAGTAATTTGTGTGTAAGTTTATGCACCCCTGGGACTTTTGTTTTTAATCAGAGAAAATAAGCCTATCTCTGATTTCAGCCACTGGTATCCATTTTTTCCCTCTGTTATATGCAAGACAACCTATTTCTAATTTAAGAACATCCCTGAAAACGCAGCTCTGATGAAAAGAACAGTGCATGAATAGCTCTGAGTCAGAGCCTGGCACACAATGAGTACTATGAAAATGGGGGTGTGATGACTATTAGTAGTTGTATTTATTCCCTGAAACATCCTTATAGCAGTATTTTTTTAATGATTATAATAAAAGTAACTCATGCTTGTTGAAAATTTGGAAGCTACACACCAAAAAAAAAAAAAAACAAAAAAACAAAAAAACAAAAAACAAAAACACCAAACCACTCACGTGGAAATTGGGAATTACTGATAATTCCATTCCTACTGAGGTCAATTTAGTACGTCCAGGAAAACTGAGAAAGGCATGTGATGGGAAATATCCCGGCATCCACAGAGCTGTGGTGCTGGTTTCTCGCCCGGGCCGTGTTTCTCACCGAGAGGATGCAGACAGCGTCCCCGTGCAGCGGTCCTCCCCGGAGCACACCTGCCGGGGAAGGTGCAAGGCGTGGGCTTCCTGCAGCGGAGAGCAGCGATTCCCGCGGGAAGGAGGGAACCAGGCAGGAGCGCCCTCCCTTGCCGAGCGCGCCACCTTCCGGGCTGGAGTCTCATTGCACCACTCCAAGCTTCCCTGGCTCCAAAGGCGCTGACGGACGGGCAGAAGGACAGAGGTGTGCAATTCTTCCACACCCCCGCGGGGCTCTATCAAGTCCCGTTCTGGTCACTAAGGGTGTCCTACCAGTACCAGGAAGCCCTGTAGAAGCCAGTCTCACCAGGGCAAGACCTAGACCCAATACAACGTCCTCCAAGCTTGGCCTCTTGGAGGAGTCCACTGTTTCTCAACAACTAGGTCTGAGCGATTTCACATCTGGAAGGCTCCAGGGTTTCAGGAAGTGTGGCAAAGAAATGTGTGCATATCTAAACTATACGGAGAGATACAGGAATCCGACTGGACATGCTTCCTCAGGTTTTTATTTATATTTAAAAAAATCAGGGTGAGGTGGGGGGACGTTGCCTTAAAGTATGGTCGTATAGGTTGTGCACTGCGCAGATTTGCTTGGTCCAGGTGGCGTACAGAGGCTGAAATGCAGCCTGTGACCTTTTCAGTAGCCACACGTCCTGTAGAACAGCCAGTAGAATAGAACAAGACCACGCTTTGAGGCTGGGGTAGGCTGAATAGCAGCCTCCAAACTTTCTATGTCCTAAAACCTGGAATGTGTGAATGTTACCTTCTATGGCAAAACTGACCCGAAGGTGTGATTAAGTTAACGATCTCGAGGTGGGGAGATTCTCCCGGATTACTGGTCCTTACAGGACGGGGCTCAGGAGAAGTCAGTCAGAGGGATGGCAATGTGTGGTGGAAGCAGAGATTAGAGGGTGGAGGATTGAAGATGGAGGAAGGGGCCATAAGCCAAGGCATGCAGGTGGCCATTGGAAGCTGAAAAAGACAAGGATGTGGGTTCTTTCCTCAGCGCCTCCAGGAGGAACCAGCCCTGCAGCCCACTCAACTTTAGCCCCGTGAGGCCGATTTCTGGCTTGTGACCTCCAGATCTGTGAGAAGGGAAATTTGTGTTGCTTTAAGCATGGCGTTTGTGGTGCTTTGTCATGGAAGCCATAGAAACTGGTACAGAGGTGCTGCTTAACCCCTTCCACGCTTGGGTTTCCCAGCATGGCCACTCAAGATGAAGGGCTTGGGTCTGAGACGAGCTTCCCTGGTCCTCGTGGCTGGATAAAGCTCAAGGTAATAGTGACATCAAAGCATCAATAGCATTGCCCTGTTCTAAGTGTCTTATGCTCCAGGCTGGAGTGCAGTGGCATGATCATAGCTCACTGCAGCCTCCAACTCCTGAGCTCAAATGATCCTCCTGCCTCAGCCTCCTGAGTAGCTGAGACTACTGTCCTGTGCCACCCACGCCCAGCTAATTTCTTTCTTTTTTTAGAGACGGAGGTCTCACTGTGTTGTCCAGGCTGGTCTCAAACTCCTGGGCTCACGCGATCCTTCCAGCTGCAGGGACTACACCACACCTGGTTTCTAAGTGTCTTAGTCCTGTTAAGGCAGTCTGTTCTCACGGCAGCCTCTATGAAGTAGGCATTGTCATGTCGCAGTTTTATGGGTGTGGTAATAGAATCACAGAGAGGTTAAGTTATTTGATCAAGATCAGACAGCAAGTAAGTCAGGGAGCCAGGATTTGAGTCTAGATCATCCGGACTTGTAATCACTCTATTCCTTGGTGCTAACATTTGCTACCATATGAAATTTTCCACCTTTGATGTCACCATTATCTTGTAAGTGGTGAGAAAATCGCACCTTTTAGAAACTCACAAAATGTTGGTGTGTCATATGGCGAATGATTTTCTTCTTGACCTAAGCCTGCATCTCAGGAAGTTAGAAGAAGGAAAGTTTTCTGCGGAGGATCCATGTAACTTTCAGGAAATGCTGCACGTGGTTTCACAGCTACTATAAGGCCTGTAAAAACAAAAATATATTCAAATTATTTAACATGACAGAGGTATTTATCAAGACGTCTGGTGCATTTCTTATCAAAGGATGTCCTGACTCTGTTGACCAGCACGCCTCATTTAAAATGAAGAAAACAAAACCGAAAAGCCCCAGCTTCCAAATCCATACAATTATTTCTATGTTTTTGATTCTGTGATGGTGGCGATTTTTTTTCCCCAAAGAAGCACAGACCTCCTTATTTTTGGATGCTTTTCCCACAAGAAGAGGTTGCTTCTCACTTATCAGGTATTAACTGGTATAATACAGATCTTTCCTTTGAAAAACTAAGTACTACATTCCTTTAAAAAAAAAAAACAGGAAGATCTTAAAATAGGAATTCCTGAAATTCAGTGAAAACACAGATTGTGTTATTTTAAGGCAAACTCCTTGTAACCACGTCGGAGTCAAGAAATAGAATTTTCCAGCCACTCAGTAAGCCTGTCCCGGTGCCAGTCTGAATCCCTTCCTGCCACTAAAATTAACCAGTCGCTTGGCTATAAGTCGCTCTTATAGTCATCACCTCTATGTTTCTCTATAGTAATGATTGTCTATGTGTGCATCCCTATTTTAGTCTTTTTGTTTATTTATTTATTCATTTATTTATTTTAAGAGATGCAGTCTTTCTCTGTTGCCCAGGCTGGTGTCCAATGGCATGATCACAGCTCACTGTGACCTCAAATGCCTGGGCTCAGGTGATCCTCCCCCCTTAGCCTCCTGAGTAGCTGAGACTCCAGGCGTGTGCCACCAGTCTACAGGCCAGGCTCATTTTTAAAGTTTTTTGTAGAGATTTGGGTCCCCCTATGGCTCAGGCTAGTCTTGAACTCCTGGCCTCTAGCAATACTTTTGCCTCAGCCTCCCAAAGTGCTGGGATTATAGGCTCGAGCCATCATACCCCACCTAGTCTTGCCCTTTAAAACTTTTAACATGTTATTATATCTCTTTTTTCTTATTCAGAAAATATTACATCTTAGTGATATTAATATGTTTTTTCTTTATCCAAATATACGTGTGCATATATAAAATTTTTAAATATCAATAGCAATTTTACCACTCATAGTATGATCACTATATATAATTTAAGATTTTTTTATTGGTGCTTTTTTCCTCATTAGAATATATCCCATTAGGGATTTATGTCAAATTAATACATCTTTTTTTTTTTTTTTTGAGACAGAGTCTCGCTTTGTTGTCCAGGCTAGAGTGAGTGCCGTGGCGTCAGCCTAGCTCACAGCAACCTCAAACTCCTGGGCTCAAGCGATCCTCCTGCCTCAGCCTCCCGAGTAGCTGGGACTACAGGCATGTGCCACGATGCCCGGCTAATTTTTTATATATATATCAGTTGGCCAATTAATTTCTTTGTATTTATAGTAGAGATGGGGTCTCGCTCTTCCTCAGGCTGGTTTTGAACTCCTGACCTCGAGCAATCCGCCCACCTCGGCCTCCCAGAGAGCTAGGATTACAGGCGTGAGCCACCGCGCCCGGCCAAATTAATACATCTTAAATTACTTACAAACATTGTTCTGTGGGCTATTGAACCCCAATATTAAAAATTGTTTTGAAATTCTGTTTACTTGGAAACATCAACAAATGAATGTATGTATTCATTTTCCTCCTTTTTGCACAAAAGGTTACATATACTATTCACACCAAGTTTGCAGCTTGGTTTTTTTACTTAACTATGTCTTGTACATCACTACGAAAGAGTGTACATGCACGCACACGCATCTTTTATATATATGTATATAGTCCTAGTATATTTTATTTATTTTTACAGCTGTACAGCACTCTATTTTTGTAAATGTAGCATAGTTGATTTAGCCAGCACCCTATAGATGGCCATTTCAATAGTTTTCAGGTTTTTTGCCATTACAAATAGGGCTTCGATGAAGAGGCATATTCACAAGGAGTTTCATATTTCTGTCTGTCTTTGGGTAGAATCCTAGAAGTAGGATTGCTGGGTCAAAGGGCACATTTGCTAAATATTGCCAAATTTTCTCTATGGATGTTTCGTCTTTTTACATTCTACTGGCAAGACGCAAGAGTTCCTGTTTCCTCACAGCATGGCCAACAGAGTTTTGCTAAACATTTGGATTTTTGCTAATCTGATAGGTGAGAAATAGGATCTCAGGATAGTTTTAATTTGCATTTCTTTTATTATGAATGAGGATGAGCATATTTTTTATATATTTAGGAGACATTTACATTTCTTCCTTCCTTTATTTCTTTTCTTTTCTTTCTCCTTCCTTTGTTTGTTCCTTCCTTTCTTCTTTCCAAGGGAAAGGGTCTCACTCTGTCGCCAAGGCTGGGGTGCAGAGGTGAGATTATAGCTCACTGCAGCCCTGTACTCCTGAGCTCAAGGTGATCTTCCTGTCTCAGCCTCCCAAGTAGCTAGGAGTGCTGGTGCAGGCCACCATGCCTGGCTAATTTTTAAAAAGTTTTTATGGAGAGGAGGTCTCTCTATGTTTCCCAGGCTGGTCTCTAACTCCTGGCCTCAAATGATCCTCCTGCCTTGGCCTCCAAAAGTGCTGGGATTATATGTGTGAGCCACCATCCCTGGCCTACATTTCTTTTTTATGCAAACTCTGTTCATATATATTTCCCACTTTTAATAGGTTTCTTGGTCTTTTTTCCCCTTAATTTTTATTTATTTATTTTCTTTTTTTTTTTCCTTCTCACTTGTTATGATTTCCCTTAATTTTTAGAAGCTCTTCATATTTTAGGAATATTAACTTTTGTCTTCTGTGTTATAAGTGGTAAATATTTTTCTCATTTTGTCATCTGTAGTTTTTAGTTTGTGTACGGTGGGTTTAATTTTTGGACATGCAAAAGGTTTTCATTTTTTTATTTGACCATTTAACAAAATTTTCTTTCGTGGCTTCTGGATCTTGATTAATAGTTGAAAATTTTACACTACTCTAATGCCATAAGGGAACTTCACCAGTGTTTTATCATTTGTGAGGTTGTGGTTTTTTAATTCAGACCTTTGATATTCTTAGGATTTAATCTGGTATATGGTGTGAGAAATGGATTCAAGATTTTCTTTTTTCACACGGTTATCTAGTTGTTCCAACACTACAAAATTAGAAACTTCTCTAAAGTTCCTTCCTAAATTAGAACCTATTATCTGATAATGTAATAAATTTCCATAAGCAATTATTTCTGTTTCTGGGTTTTCTAATCTTTTTCTCCATCTCTCTGCTCATTCGTGCACCAATAACACATTGTTTCATATTGTTTTTAATATCTGGTATAGCTACCGCAGCAGTGGTGGCTGTTGTTGCTACTTCTTTTTATTTTTTCCCCCTATATACTTTTTTGTCCTTCTAAATCAACCTTATAATCAAGTTGCTTAGAAACAAACCCTTGATGGAAATTGTGCTGGGATCCAGACAGGTTTGTAAACTCAAAGGCAATTGACTTGGTGTTTGTTGGCAGCTTCGTTTCTGTCCTTGGAACCCACGCGCCCCCTAGTGGCCACTGTGCGCAACAACATTTCCCTCGATTTCGGCAAGAAAATCCAGCTGCTCAAAGCAATAAACATTTATCATCCCGCTTCCTTTTTGTGGATCAGGTATTTGAGAGAAGCTTATCCATATGCTTCTGGCTCGAAGACTTCGGCCAGGCCTCCAGTCGTCAGAACGCTTTAATGGCACTGGAGAACTCCCTTCCAAGGTGGCTCGCTCACACTCTGGAAGACAGTGCTCGCTGTTGGTGGGGGACCCCAATTCTGCAGCATGCGACCCTCTCCCTGCTCCTCACGACGTGGTCTGGCTTCCCCCAGAGCAAGTGCACCCAGAGAGAGTGATGTGGAATGCTAGATAATTTTAGACTTGCAGAAAAAGTGCCGATAGTACAGACAGTTCCCATTTCTCTCTCTCTCTCTAATATAAATACCATAGTACAACTATCAAAAGCCTTTACCCTTTTCCACTCCACTGTGTGCCTGGAGTCTGGTCTGTATAGACTACACCGGTGGACGCACCTCCTGGCCTCCATTGAGGTGGGAGGGGACCCAGGAGGGGATCAGAGGGCAAATGCAATGTGTTTACATTGCATGCACAGAGCGTGCCTTGTGTTTATTCCTCCATCCTTCTGTCCCAGGAGGGGCAATGGCTGTAAATGTTGCTAGCTTCAAATAGTGTGCTGTCCCCTGTTGGCTTCCCTTAACCCTGCCCATGCATTTTTGTAGACCCTTGATTGATTGATTGATTGTTTTAAAGACTTGGGGTCTTGCTCTGCTGCCCAGGCTGGAGTGCAGTGGCACAATCATCGCTCACTGCAACATCAAACCCCGGGGCTCAAATGATCCTCCCACCTCTGCCTTACAAGTAGCTAGGACTACAGGCATGCGCCACCACACCCAGCTAATTTTTATATTTTTTGTAGAGACTGGGTCTCATTTTGTTGCCCAGGCTGGTCTCAAACTCCTGGCCTCAAGTGATCCTCCTGTCTCAGTCTCACAAATTGCTGGGATTATAGGCATGACCCTACCTGGCCTCTTTATTAAATTATTATCCATTTCCCCATTTGGAGGTACATCTAAGTTTTGTCAAAATTCTTACCAATGGAAACACCAATACAACTCAAAATAAATGTTCATTCTTTTAAAAATGTATTAATCTGAAAAGCATTTATGAATATATTTATACAGAAAATGTTGGATCATGGCAATGGAGAATACTTCTCTCATAGTTCTCAATATATATTTCTTATCAAAGCACCTGGGAAATATTAATCACTTAATTGCATGCATAAGGACTTTGATGCTTAGAAGTGATCTTTTTTGGTTCTGTAACATTTCAAGATTGTTTCTATGCTTCCATATCATATTCACTTTTAATAATAGCTTTATCTAGATGTGATTAACATAACATACAGTTCACCCTTTTATCAAAGTGTACAATCCAGTAGTTTTTAGTACATTCATAGGTTAATGCAACCATCATCACCATCTAAATTTAGAACAGTATAATCACCCAGGGAAAAAATTTCAGTCTTTCACCATTGAATATGATATTAGCTGTGGTCATGATTTTTATCATGTTGAGGAAGTTCCTTTGTATTCTTAATTTATTGAATATTTTGCCATGAAAGAGTGTTGGATTTTGTAGAATATCAATTAATATGATCATGGGATTTCTTTTTCCTTCATTCTATTATTAACGTGGTGTATTACATTGACTGATATTTGTGTATGGAACAACTCTTGCTTGCTGGCTATAAACTGCACTGGGTCATGGTGCATA